TCATTTGGCAGTTCTTCAATTTCTGCTTCACATAAGGATGGGGAGGCAAGATTTGCTCTAAAAGTTTTACTTTTTTGGGGGGGTCATGAAGCAGTACAATTAATTTTATGAAACCCGGTGCATTTTATTAGCATAATCTTGCATAATTATTACCCACACCTTTTTCAGATAATTGTGTAAAAGATGAGTGTTGAGGAAAGCAAGCTTCAAAGGGTGTGTGATATGATAAACGCACATGTTCATTCACAGAAGATTTCAAGCATACTTGGATTATCCCTACGGACAGTTTTTAATCTGAAAAAGAGAATGACTCTGAGAGAAACTATTCAGAGAAAGCCTGGAAGTGGTAGAATCAACAAAAAGCACGATGAAGATTTCATCAACACTCTCAAATCGAAAATCTCCAAAGACCCAAAGAAATCCGTGAGAAAATTAGCAACTGAACATAAGGTGGATGCTAAGACTATCAGAACAGCAATGAAAGATAAATTTAAATAAAAATCTTGACCAAGACATTTGCTGATACGACCTAAGAAAGCCAGAATATTAGAAAGTTCCAAAAACATTCTTTTTTATCTTAAATAAAACAAGTCCACTGTGAAAATTTTCTCAGATGAAAAGATCTTTCAGAGTCTTTCTATATTTCTGAGATGAGGTATTTACATTATTCGGACTATTGTCCTCATCTTTGTCGCCATATTTATCACAACGTTTCGGCCGTTGTACACTCCGGCCTTCTTCTGGTGTCCTCAAGGACACATGGTACCGAGGATAAAGGCGTTGGTAAGATCCAGTGACAGAACCCAAAGAATGTGAGTTCAATGCCCGGTTAAGGCAGTGGAGAACTTTCAGAGGGGAATTAACAGGAGATAACTGATAACTGACATCCATCAAACATGGCAGGTGGAACTAGAACAGTCTACCCCAGTGAGCGAAATAAAGGGTTCAGTTCGAAATTCCAACCACCTGAAGAAGGCCGTAGCGTACAACGGCCGAAACGTTGTGATAAATATGGCGACAAAGATGAGGA